ATTTTTTTTCTCTTAAATATTATTTAAACTGATTAGTCAATTTTCTAAATAGTGGTGTGAATATTGTGTACTGATTACTTTTGGTAGTTGAAAATTAACCGATGATTTCATTCATTGTTGCAGCTTACATCACAAAAATGACTCAGCCAACTTATGTTTATCCCTTTATAGGCTATGCAAAGGGAAAGACTTAGGGCATTACCTATCACAGGCAAGCTGTGACTAGTCATCAGTCCACAACAAAGCCCATATCAGTTTATCCTGTTACCTTTAAAAAATTTAATTTAATTAAATCAAAAAAATCCCACAACACAACAATGGCCATGTCGTTAGATAGCTGGGGAATTCTAGGAATTGCTGATCTTCCGCTGCTTATCTAAATGCATGTCAAAATACTGCCCTCAACCCTACAGCTAAACACGCAGACTTTAAACTATAGCTGCATTGTCCCATGTCTCCTCTTGTATAGCCTTACTTCCACGCACAAACAACCCCCCAGCAGCAATAAGGAGGTTCGAGCAGATAATCTGAAAAACATTCTCGCTATTGATCCATCTAATCACGAGAAGGAGGAACATGATCGGCAAACACCGAGCAGAAGGCGAACATCACGTTGGACAAATAACACTGAATGTCAGAGTTGCTCATTTTCAAACCAAACTAAAAACACCACCATCAAACAAGATACTTTTGCTTCACTTGCATTAATTATAGAAACAACTAGCTCACATTACAGTTGACCTCAATGCTGCTGCCTCGGCTAGCCTAACGCTAATGGGATGAGTTTATTGTTCTGACAGCATCCATTAAGTTTTCCAGCCAAGTAGCGAACGGTGAAGTGTCGCCGCCGTAGAAGACAGCTAAACACATGAGTCACCAGCGAGTACAGAGTTAGAAGAAAAACAACTTACCTTGCTATGATACGCAGCAGTAGAACAAACTGTCACAATCTGCTAATGTGAGCTAGCAGTCTACTGTAACGGGTGACGTTAGCTAAGCTAGCCCGTCCGTGTAGCCAATAACAGGTGGAGGCTATCTGACCGCTGTTAGTGTAAATCTCACGGCTTGTCGGCCAACGACACCGAGGCTAACCAGACGGAGCTATTTAGTCGAGCTGTCTAACTATCTGTTAGCACTGGTAGACGAGAGTGAGCTGCCACGGTCGTGTGTGTGCCTGTGTGTGCCTGTGTGTGTGTCAGCCGGTTGAACAACTATCGCTAACCGAACCAGTCCGACGGGAGGCAAAGTCGGTGCGGGTTAGAGCGTCACGTGTGCAGAAGTAGACCACGTAGAGAGGACGTGCCTTCATACGCCATCTTCATAGACATCAGCAGTCTCTCATATGCAATTCAGTTTCAATCAATCAATCAATTGATTGATTATTTAAGAGGTTTACAATATTACCAAAGCACTGAGACATGTGTAGTTAAATCAAAATAAATAAATAAATTAAACAAGATATTTTAAAAAATGTTTTTTTTGTGTGTGTAATATGTACAGTCGTCCTCAAATATATTCAGACCCTTCCATTAAAGAAAAGGAAAAAATCACAATAGTCACTCAAATAACTAGAAACTGAAAAAAATAATAATAAATAAAAAAAAATACTAAATTATAATTTAGTGAAATAATACATTGCTGTTAAATTGTGGTTGAAAAGAATAATTTAAATAAATAAAACAAAAAACTGTCCCGGGCAAATTAGAGCACTTTGCTGATGAGCATTGGGCCAAAATCAAAATACCTGTCAACAGGTGCAGAAGTCTGATTGAGAGTTACAGAAAACACTTGATTGCAGTGATTGGCTCAAAGAGTTGTTCAACAAGATATTAGTTTACTGGTCCCATCATGCTTGTTTACCTGTGTTGTTGTTGTTGTTGTTGTTGTTATTTTAATATTTATGTTGAACCACAATTCAAAAGTAGTGTCATGATTTTCATTAAATTTTTGTTTATTATTACTTTTGTCAATTTTAACTTATTGAGCTCTTGAGTTTGTAGTTTATATCATCTTAGTGTGTTTTGGGGGCTCGATTTGATATGTGATAAATCTGTATGCATGTGTGTGTGTGTGTGTGTTTTTTTTTTCTTTAAGAATTAATGGACGATGGCCTAATTCTGCCCTGCAACTATTGTTTTCCTTTTTCTCTCTAGTTGTTTAATATGGATCTAACAGAGTTCTGTATGCAAGATCTCAACAGAGTGCTTGTTGCATCTAATTTAGTCCTGATGACTGACTGGACCCCAAACTGCAGTCCTTCAAACAATCAAGCTATTCAGCCCAAACTCGAATTGCTGTGCCTATTTTGTGTTTTCTTCTAATTACACAAAAAGCTGTACAGGCTTTTGTGTTCATGTAGCTTCTATGTTGTTTTATGTCTATGTTTCCTCCAGGCGCATCTCTATGACGTAAAACAAAGCTAACAAACAAGCTAACGTAGGGCGGTGCACCGTTTTGAGGTTTCTTTTGGTTATTCTTATTTGTAAGAGTACAACCCGTTGACATTCAACAATAAATATCAAATCAAAGTAAAAGCCCATTTTTTTTGTAGTCAGAAATATTATTTTAGTGTATGTTAATGCGTATTGTGTTTATCAGGGAGCTCAGCAAGGGCTGTTTGTCGCGCCTGAATGTCGTAACACTTTTGACATTGGCATGGAGCATGATAGAAGGGTAACATTAGCAATTTATACATTTTGAACTTAAATTGACCGTTCTAATATAAATGTGCCTGTGTTGTGTTATTATTTGGGACCGAGACTTTAAATCACGAAGAATTCTGCTTCGTTGTTTACATTTGTCTGCCCACTGTGTGATTGTTAGCTATTGCTAATCTTTTAGCATATTAGCTGCTAACCGCTGATACCATTTCTCTCTCCAGCTGACACAGTTTATGCTGTAGTAATGGCTCTTCCCTGGCTTTCAAGGTCCTTTACGGGGCTCCTCGTTGAAACGTCGTCTATAATCCATCAGAGGACTTTTAGGTAAGAGATTTTGGAGACCAGTAAAGCTAAGACTTTGCAGCTAGCAACTGTAGTCCATGTCGTTTGGTTAATTTAACAGTTATTAACCACAGTTGAAACCATTTCCTAGCATCATTGGTCCCACTAGACACAGGTTTCTGTTTTTTGTAACTTCAACGGAGGTTCGATACACAACTTAAAAGTAACTTCTGTATCTGGACAGTGTGAATCACTATCATGCTGTTTACGTGTGCTCTCCGGGGAAAGTGTATGCGGTCGCTTTAAATCTGAGTTTAGGAACTGTATGTACCAGCCTGATTTCGTTGCAACACAACTAGTTTTGAACCTCACTGTGTCAAGTACACAGTACATGTCTGCAGGCTGAAGTCAGCTCCAATAGACAGCTTTAAACTGGAGACATCTGTAGTCATCAATAATCAAGTCGTGTCAGGTCAAAGGTATTTATGTAGCACATGAAAAGACACACATGTTGCGCCACAGTGCTTTTCAGTAAAGACAAAAAATCTAATTAAATAGTACAAATATTGAGAATAGTAACCTAAAGTGTTGTTTATGGTAAATTCCCTGAACAATTTAAATATTAAGGATTAAAACCAAACAAATTACACAAAATACAACTTAATCAAACTATAAAATGCAGATCAACCCATCTATTGTAAATATTAAGGCTAAGACCCAACAGTAGCATTTATAATAGAGATCAGCCATGCTAATTTAGAACTGAAGTTATGACCCTACAAAAATGTGCATTAAAAACCACAACAAATCTAAGGATTCATCATGAGCAAGCTTTGTAAGTTAACAATAGTTAAAATATCAGTGGGTGGCAATCATTCACAACTTTAGAAATGGATGATGTAAATGTTATAAAAGAATAGTAATGAAGATTTGTGATTTCTTTTTTTAATTGAGAGGAAATTATTTACATGACATACATGTCATTTTATATCCATGTGAAGTCACTATAGCTTCTGTTATAGTTGTCTTGTTTTCTGTCACCTCTGGTCTCAGGATGGGACGGAAGGAGAAAATTTATGGGGGTTAGATTTTACATTGTATTAAAGCCACATTACTCAGTTTGCAGCTACAACAGCAACTGGTTGTGTCTGTCTGCCTCCCTATCATTCAGTATAGCTTAATTTCCTGGTTTTGGTAATGTATTACAGTTTGTGCTTAGAACAGCTTACTGCCTTAAATGACCGCAAGGAGCGATTCCTGAATCCTTAAACATTTTTTTCAGATGATACAATCACTACAGTTTAAGCAGCAAGTTTTTAAAATTATACCATTTTGCCTAATTATTTGCATGATTAATTATAGTTGGCTTTTAGTGATGTCCCTGCAGGATTCCTGTACGTTCTTGTTAAAGATGACAAATTTCCTTTTTGTCTTGTCAGTGTATCTGCTGTTGCAGCAGCCATTCAAAAAATGACAAGAGTGCGTGTCGTGGACAACAGCTCTCTTGGAAATACACCGTATCATCGTCCACCAAGAGTGATCCACGTCTACACCAAGAATGGCGTTGGAAAAGTTGGCGACAAGGTGTTGCTCGCCATCAAAGGACAGAAAAAGAAAGCGCTAATCATTGGACACAAAATGCCCGGCCCACGCATGACTCCACGCTTTGATTCAAACAATGTTGTCCTAATTGAGGACAATGGTAATCCTACAGGAACAAGGATTAAGGTCCCTGTACCCACACAGCTACGCCAAAAGGAGGGAGATTTTTCCAAAGTGTTGGCAATTGCTAGTTCATTTGTATAACTGTGGTATATGAACATTGTATGCTTGTCTATGTCATCTTAAATAAACATACAACACGCATCATGTTGCAGTTGTTGACTAGTATTTTGTGTTGTTTCTTAATATATGAGCAGTGAAAGAGTCAACATGTTTGGTATTTCACAGTATGTTTACAATAAATATAACCTTTACCTTGAATGCATAGGAATGTCTTGTGAGGTTTGAGAGGCCAAATGCGGCCAAGCCCACATTGCTATGAACAAACAAAGCATGAACCTTGAGGGAAATGTTTATTGAAGGCACAATGTACATTCACAACACAAAACACATGACTGGTACATGATTATTATTAGCTGTTTATAACATTATGGTGTCAAGTATAAGGCATTTAGTATCATGTGATTCCTGTAATTGTCACTTTAGTGAGCTGATCATTGTTATTAATGTGAGGCAACTTCACTAGCAGCTTCTTAAAAGTTAAACTCCCAGTGAGAGGAACAAAAACAGCTGTTTCACTTAAGCTAAAGAACATCCTTAAAATACAGAACACTTCAGTGTAAAATGCCAAAAACAAGATTCCTGGACATCAGGCCAGGTCTATACTGCCACCTACAGGTGTAAAAATGAAAGTACTGAGACAACCATCTTCCATTTTCTATTCTAAAGCGGTGAAACAGGAGCACAGGATGATTAAGAGAAAACGATAAGACTTTTAAAAAAAACAATAACTTTGATTTAATACCTCAAACAGCTTTTAGTGAGATTTCAGAATAACAGTGAAATTATTTTTAATCAATCAGTTGACATTGATACAGACAGCAAGACTAAAAACTGAAAATATAAAACCAACTTGCAATGCACGCTACAGCTAGTGATTTTTGTCATGCATAGAGCCATGCTGTTCTTTCTACAGTGATGACAGACTAATGTGGCACAGTGACTGCTTCATACTGTCAGTTTGCATAGTTTCTAAAACATTTGGTTTTTCTATCATACAGTTCTTTTGCTACGCTGAGGTGGGATGTGTAGAAGGATCAGCAGGTTACTCAGGCTGAGGGGTCTGCAGAGCTCCAGGCTTGTGGCCGTCTGCAGGCTCTATACTTCCAGCAGTGAAGATGGTCCTCTTCAACCACACATTGTCAGATAAAGCCACTGCAATGTGAGAAATAAAATTAGAACAAACAGAAAAGTGGAACAAACATGTACTCAGATTTTTATTTTACAACAGAACTCACTTCTGTGAGATTCATCTCAGCCACTCCTGATTCATCCTTGTTAAACTGCTGGAAAGCTCCTGTTAAATGTACAATTTGTTAATTCCATTGTATATGCTGCAAACAGTGTATATTTCAGTGAAGGCGAATAACAATACCACTCACTGAACATGGATTCAAGTTTAACCAAGCAGCAGATGAAGTTGTCAAAGTCAATCATCTCGTTCTCTGCGTACCGAGCTACCAGACACTGGTTCAGTGTGTTGTTCAGTTTAAAACCTACACAGGGACACAACAAAAGTTTAAAGTCAGGCCTGCAATTCCCATCTGTGAACATGAATACTATATATAAATGCTCTTAATCGTTATACCTGCTGCCTCCACAGCAAGTCGCATCTCATATGAGCTCATGGCTCCTGATTTGTCAAGGTCAAACTGTCTAAAAATGACCTGGGAGATGGAGACAGAAATGTAAACAGAACTACAGCAATGCTAAGTCTGTGTGATGTTCATCAGTATTATTTCACTTGTTCTTACCAGCCACTTTCGGATCTTGTTCCAGAGAATTTGAAACTCCACCATGCCTAAACGGGCGCTGCCGTCTTTCTGGTAAGCATGGCGTCAAGGGCTGAAACTACAATCACCGTTTTTTTTTGCTAAATGCATGTTTTTCCTACAGTGCAGCTAAGTTTTTGATCCATTCACGCCTGATAACTGAAGAGGATACATCCATCAGGTTGACCATGGTCCTGCAGGATTCCACACTGAAGCCGTCAGTCTTCAGATCCTTGTCTGAAATAGCAAAAACACTCATCTTAAACAGCGTGGCTAACAAAGACACAGCCACACAGCAGCTTAATTTAGTTCAGGAAAAGAATGCAGTACACCCAATGGTGGAATTTAATATAGTAAGGTGAGATTTATTACCACCATAAAAACCTTCCAGCAGATATGAAATGTACTAAAGGTAACCAAAAAAACTCACGCCGGGAGACGACTCTGTTTAGAATGGTTCTTAGCTCGCGAATGGAAATCTCCATGTCCTGGAAAAGTATAGAGGAAAAGAACATGTGCAAGGTTTATTTTAAGTATGTATATTTAGACGTTTAGATGTTACATAAAACGATTACACTGCAAATACCACTATTATTACTACCGATACCAAAGGTTTTCCTGGTTCAGAATGGGGATGATGACACACGAAAATAAGCATAATCACTTGCATACAGCAAAGACAATGAACCCGTGTTTTCTTATTTAAAAAAGATATTATTTCTGACCATTTTAAAAACAAAAACGCCTGTTAGATTACACCTCAGTTAACAAAACTGGTTCTTCTGGCGGTGGTGCACTAGCTACAATTTCTATGGGGAGGTACCAAAAAGTCCTGTATGCAGGAAAACCCTTTATACTATAAGTAGTGTCAGTGAGTACATTAATGACTGAAAACAAAGATACAAATGGCTACGAAAAACCTCCTTTCCAGAACCTACCTCTCCTGCTAGTTGAGCAAACATAGCCTTAAAAGAGTCATCAATGTCATCTTCCGTTATTTCCTCCTGTAGAAAAGCAAAAATATACAAAGGCACTGGTGTGAAATGCAAGGCGATTAACACTGTACATTTAAATTTCCTACAGTGTTGTTTAGGTGTTACTGATACGTACATCATCTTCCAGATCGGCAGAGATTTCATCATCAAGTTCTCTGCAACAGACAAAAACATTAAGGTTTCCTTTCCAACATGTCACAATTAGAGATAAAAGAAAACAAAATCACATGCGAAAGACACATACTCTGTTTCCGACTGCTTTTCTGTGAAGACTCTGAGGACAAAGTCGGCCTCTTTACCGGCTTCGAAGGTGGAGGGGACGATGAGGTATTCTCCAGGAGGCAGACGCAGCCGAGTACTCACCTCCCGCAGGTTGATGAAGGTCTCGGAGCGAGCACACGATGAATGGGTCAAAAAGAAATTTTTCTTCAGATGGACATTCTGGCAGCCTTTGAACTGAGGGCAGCATGAAACAGTACATGGGTTTAAGATGCATTTGCATGTTTTAAAGTCCACTTAATTGAAATCACGTATACTTTACATTACTGCTAACAATTTTACAACGTATAAGACAGATTTTTTTTTTTTTAACTTCTTTGCATTTCGATGAAAATGGACTTTCATATAGGACTGAAAAAAATGTACAAATCTGCCAATGCATTTGACTATGTGGACTGGTTATACTGCATGTAATGTGTGTGTATGTGTACTGATTAAAATATTGTGATGGACAAAATGTGCAGACATGCAGATAAAATGCTTTAAAAAAAAAAACTAGCATGACCAGCAGTATTGTAAAATACACATCATTTACAGTAAATTGGCTAAAACATGACCATTCTCTCAGACAGTGGGATAGACTGTGATGTATTTGAATTTTTTTGGTTGAATAAACAGTAATAGAAAGTGATGCTCTGCCTACCTCATCTGGAATCTGCAAAAGAAGATAGAGGAAACATAAATGAAAGAACCCAATATTATTTAAAAAAAAAAAACATGCAATGTAAACAAGTGAAAAAACACAAGAATGGATCCAGATTTTCCATCTCTGATCTCACCTCGTAGAGAGCAAAGCCGATGGTGTGCATGTCCTGACCGTGGCGGCGATATCTGCGGCGGTCCTTCTGCATAAGAGCGACTAAAAAACTGCACGCCACCTCATCGTCCTCTGGGTCGTCATCCTCCTCCAGCAGCGTGATCTTATACTGAGGGTTGATCCAAAACGTGTCTGCACGGATGGTGAGTTTGTGTTATTGTTTCATAGTCCTACAGTACATTAGACGACAGGTTTACATGTTAATGCTTTGAACTTTGAACATCTTTTCTCATCGTGGGCCCATTTTTCACTGCAATATAAAGTATATATAAACCTTTATGGAAATAGAAAAACCGTGACTAAAGGGAGAGAGAACTAAACAAAAATTTTAAGCAGTGTAAGAAACGTATAGTGCCATAAATTATATTAAAATAAAATAAAATAAAACAAAAGTAACATTTCTTTGATAATTTATTTTACAAAAAAAAAAAAACTGCAATCAACATGTACAATGTATTTTTCCAAGTGCCCACAAGTGTTAGCAATACTGGAAATTATTATGACTGTACACACAATGGATATTTTAACACTTAAGTTTTTGGATTTGTTTTCATAATTGCTTCCTATCCTGCTCAAAGTTAACCCAACCTGAAGTTCAGCCCGGTTCAGCCAAAAAGTTCCTGAATTTTTATGACGCAATTGTTGTCAACTAAGTCACCAGTGGCACGATTCACGGTTGCACCAAAGAGCACAGAATTTTTCGTTTTTTTTTTACAGAATCTGGTTACAGGAAACGTACTATTTTTGGTACTGTTAGGAGAGTTTTATGAAATATCATGATTTTGAGCTTAGATTTCGATAATTTCCTCGATGTGTGTGTGGGTGTGACAGAGAGCTATTATCAATGAATTACTTCACAAGTGGTATTATCTATGTCGGTGTGACACTCGAACATGAAAGATGCTTTGTTTGTATATGGCTGTGACTCACTGGGATTGTTCCTGCAGCCCCCAGCGGTGCTTCCTCTCCTCCACGTGCCATAGAACTTGATGGTGTTCCAGTGGCTGACGCTGTCCTCACTCAGAGCATCTGGAGTCAAGTTGCAGATCTCCAGTCGCGAAAACTGCCTTGTGAAATCACTGAAGGACATCCTGGAGGATGAGAGTGCACATTTTTTAAACAATTCTTGCAAAAACTTAGACAAGCAAATTGATACTACTGTCATAATGAGCCAGGAGATGGAGCCAGGAGACAACACTTTGTATCTTATTAGTCTGTACAATAAGCATACACACAAGACTCCAGGAAGTCAGTGATTGTGTCCTGTTTAATGTGTATTTGCACCGATTAAACAGACAATATAAAGCATATTTATAAGTGAGCTTTAGAGGTGCTTAAGGGTAAATTTTACCACATAGAGACACCTTTCCACTACAGGAAATGAGGGCTGGCATCAGGTGGTTCATTGGGGTGTCAGATCCACTGGCCGCACGAGATGAGATGAGAGTCATTTTGCAACAGCTTCAACCACAATGTCAGTGTCGAAACAACAGTGAATGTAGCTTGAGTTCAATAACAAGGTATGAAAAAGAACAATGAAAGATGGCTGCTGCTCTGCTGTATATTTACGTTGGTGGTGGTGATATTAGATGAAAAGACTGCCACTCGAATAGGACATTTTAAAGGCAGAAAAAACCCCCAGCATTTGTTGTTGTTGTCGTCTTCCTCAAGTTTAACCAGTCAGGATCAACTCTGCACAGCAGTGTTTCAGGGCAGCTTAGAAATACCTATCCAAAAATAGGTACTATTTTCTCCCCCAGAAATAGCACTAAAAGAGGTTCTACAGGGGCATTTACTGCACTCAGAACACGCACAAAAATGTGGGGCCACGAGTTGATGTGGAGGTGTTCCCCCATTTTAGTACATGTGCTAAGTTGAGCTAACAGTCTCTTGACTTTGGTGTTTAAAATTCCGCATACAGACACCAGAGTGGTAATAATCTTCTCATCTGACTAGCCAAAGAAGCAAGGAAATTTATTTGTTTAAAATCCCTCCAGTATATAAAAATTCCCATATTTGGACATCTTACCAAAACTCTCCGTCTTCCATCTTCAGATGCAAATCTTCTTGTTCAGAGGGGTCGATCTCATCCCATTCAGGGGAGCTACAGATGACATGAAGGTGATATTAACAAAATGGGTGAAAACTTTTCGTACTCAGATATATTATTTACGCCTGGGCACACTCACTTGTCACTCCAGGCACCAGTCCACTCCACCTGGCCCCAAGGGTTACGTATTCGGATCAGACGTACCATGTCGCCACGGAAATCCACCTACATAAACCCCAGTGTGACGGGAAATTTAAAATCATAACCAGCATGCGTAATGATAACTGAAGACAAATGAGTCATGCACACACTGACCTCCTTCAGCCCAGTGACTGAGTAGGCGTGACCCTTGACAAGCTTCCTGAACGTAACAGCCTCCATGTCGAAGGCGCTGGTGATCTGTATTAATACGAAAACACAATTGCTACATCCAAGTAGGAATTGCATTGCACAGAAATAAATAGAGGTGCTTTTAATGTAAGTGGCCTTCTCAAGATGCAATATTGATGTCGGTGGTGCGGTCGTGTCTTTTTTAGCACTTACATCGATAGAGCAGCCCAGCAGGGAGCCTCTCTCCAGGGCTTTGGCGATTATCCTGTGCAGGTCTCTGGGAGCCTTGCGGAGCTCGTACATCTCAGAAACACCACCAGTGAAGTCCTCAAACCCTTCCGTGGTGCTTCCCCCAGACAGAGCCTCATAGGAGCCATTCAGCCTGACAGCACATTAAGAACACATTTCAGTTTGATTGCCCTAAACTGCAGCACTTCAGAATACGACTTCCAACTAAATACGCTCATGCTGAATAATGCAGAAACTGGGCAGGAGCTTTCAATACAATACCTACTTGGCATAAGCCTTCTCCAGGAGTGCACTCCAGAACTCGTTGCCCTCCGCTGAATGGACAAACATGATCTCCCCGTCTTTGACAGGCAATCGATCATCAATCACAACATCTACCCACTCGCCAAACTGCCAGAACTGCAACACGAAGCAATAATCAAGAACATCATCTATTTAAACTGCTTGGAAAGGAAAAGAAAAGAGTAGCAGATGATCCTAAAGTACCTGGAAGTGGAAGATTCCAGCATAGTCATCTTGGAAAGACTGACCGTGCGGAACGACCCGGTGGAGAAGCCTCTCGTTCAGGGTGAGAGAGGCGATGGCTGCTAAGAGCCAGCAGTCACCTGCAAGTGAGAAGAAACATATAGAAACGTCCATCCAACTGTTTTTTTAATGACAGATTTAACATCAAGGACTCACCCAGAGCTCCCTGACAGATGTCTGTTCTGGTGGCACCACCCACGATGAACTGAGGGTCGTCTGTCAGTTCCTATAGAGAAATATAATATCCAAAGTCACCCCTTCAGACCAATGAAGACATTTTACAGTTTCTGTTGAGGCGCCACTTCTTTCGAATCATTGCTTTTCTTGCACATACGTGCCAGGTTCCTGTGTTTTATTGAGGCAGTGTAAACACATGTCACAGCGAGGGAGCGGTCAGAGAATGCTATGAGATAACAACAGCTGCAGTGGCCCGAGAAGCTCCCTGTCCCTACTTGTCCTATTCTGTCTGGGCCTGCAGACGCGACATGAGACAGTGTCACCGATATGTTTGTTTATATGAAGTTTAAGTTCCAGTCATCATCAGCAACAGCCAGTTGTGAAATACTGCATAAGAAGGATTTACAGCAATGATTACTTTATCTCTAGCTCTAGAAGTGTATTTGTACTTCTACGTCCTCATATAATGCTAACATTAACCCTATTCAGGACTTTCATGTTGCCATATGTAGAAGGTCTTTCGGTGTCCATTGGACCCCAAGAAAGAACATGTGCAAAATATTTATTGGTATTCATTATAGACTTTTATACTATGTTAAATACAATTTCTGATAAGTTGACATATTTTTGGTTCCAAATGCATGACACATGTCCCTCTTTTTACACTTAAAGAAAAAAAATCTTCAAAAATAAAAAAACAATACCTATCACCTAAACCAAATGGCCTGGGGTCCAAAAGACTCCAAAAGGCTCGAAAAGAGTTAAGCAAGCTGTTACTTTTTCTTTTCAGTTTTCTCACCGTGGGCCTCATCCACTCCACATCTCTAGTTTTAGAGGAATATGGTGCGAGCTCCTTAAAGCCCAGAGATGGAGGCTCAGCAGGGAAACAGGGGTCTTCAAACAGGGAGCCGGACTCCACGCATTCCTGCTTCAGCGCCTCGTAGTCCTGGTTGTTGAATTGCACGGCCTGGTCCTTGGAGCCCATTCCTTCTGCCCGCAGCCTGTTGGCGTGTATGCTCGCAGATATCCCTCCAGTCGGATACATACTGGTGAAAGATAAAAATATGGAGCCGGTGGGTGGGTATGCACGCTGCCAACTATAAATAGCAGCAGGCTAATCAGCGACACGCTCTTGTTTAAGAGTTACAGCACAGCAATCAGGAGTGTGTTTAGAAAAAATATAAATAAATGTGCTTTCAGCTAATTGGAAACCCCACGTGTGACAGCCCATGGATTCTGCATTACGTAGTTAGCCTGCAAGTAGCACAAAGCTGAGGCTGTAGCCAGTGAGGAAACTGAGGTCAGGGTCTGATTGTTTGTACTCATGCATTATGGTTAAAAAGTCTGAAAACTTAAAAACAACCTGAGGATTTCATAATGTAACTCCTGCAATTTTAGACTCAATATGTTTAAATTCGTCTACATTTAAGCCAATGAAATAATAATTACATAACGGACTCAGCATTTCTTCTCCAATCTTTTAGTCCTGGCACTGAGGGAAAAACTTTGAATCATCATTTATAGTGTCGTGATGGGAAATAAAGTATTGATTGTTAAGCAATTAATTGATTAACTGTGTTTAAGGAAACATTTTTTATTCTTGTGTCTTTTGAGAGCAATGAGGTTTACATAGTTCAGACTCACGACCCCAAATCCCAGGCTACAACCTTGCAAAAGGCAAACCCTGCAAAAAGTGGTCATTAAGCTCTTTTCTCCTACAATACTTCGAACAACCAAGCGCATTTTCTATTTTAACCTCAAGAAGTAACGGTGGGTTAAACTCAAAGTAAATGTGCTGCTGTGGAAGCTTTAGTTATAAACAGACATAAATGAATGGCCAGCAGAGAAATAAAATCTTATACAGACAGCATGTACAGAAAAAGAAATGGATGATGGAGAAATGTGAGATAATAACCACCACCTTAAACATAAAAAAAAACACCTCCAGGAATAACAAAAGAAGTTGGAAACATGATACCTGGTGTTTATGGGCAGGCTGAGAAGAAGAGTGAGACACAAAACAGAGAGAGAAAGGTCATCATTGACAATTCAGCCAAGACAAAAATGCTTTTCTCTTTCTAATAATTCGGATCCTCAGGTGCAGGGATGTACACAGGGCCCGGGAGGTCTTTGTTACCTTCTCTGTGCTTGATTTTCTTTTATCACAACCTCGAGTAAAGTTACAAAAACCTAACACATGGAGGAAATGCCTGCTGGATTGTACGTTGTAACTTGGGTGGCCCTTTCTGAATCAATGCTGGAAACACTTGCATCTTTTCTGCAGCTCTGCTCCACTCGAAAGGAATCCTAATGGGCTGAATTTGGTAAACAGTCCAGGCAGTGAAAGTAGGAGGAGGAGGAGGAGGAGGGGGACCTAGGATGGCAGTGAGGGACCAGGAGAAAGATGATTCAGCGAGAGACAAGTGTTGGTGTGCAAAACAGGCTGTGCTTTTGATAGAAACAAGGACTTTGTTTATAGGGTTGGCCCCCGACTCTGAGGCCCCACACACGCCTGTAGAGTCTGCAGGAATGTCCCTCTGCTCTGTCAAACTACTGACTAAAAGGATATCTCCCTTTAACCCAAAAGAAGAGCTGATCCGTGCTGTACTGTGGTCATGATGTCATCTATAGGAACCACAACCTCAACAATAGCCCTAAACACAACATCCTCTCTGTCAGATCACAGCACTGGTGTCCCCATCCACTCTGAGCACCCGTGTTGGCCACTTTGTTAAATCCTTTGTGAATTCAGAGGCCTTTCAAAGCTCCCTGTATGTGAGGCATGTTTAAGCTCAGCTGCACCTGTTCAAAAGTACACACAGGCCCCGTGTTTATGCGCACCGGCCTAGAAGTCTGCTTCAAAGATTCACCCACAGCAACACAACTTATTTCACTCCGAGGGTAAAAATCTGAATGAAATCCTTGAGCCCGAACAAGACAGCTGGTACCGTGTTGACTATTATTAGAGCTACAGTGTGCAGGATCTTGCAAACACGGTGGCCTGCGCTGCAATAATGATCATTAAAAAAAAAAAAAATCCATCCGGCACCGTTAACCTCCGGATCCACTCAGAATAAAAGCGACTACACTCACCACCGCTTTGAAGGAAACTTAGATCTTCTCCAGTAGCAGTCTCGGGGTGATAATGTCGGGAATCTGTGAAAAGGGGGCAGTGGTTTGGTCCAACACTCTCCACTCTGCACGCACGCTCACACTCACACACACACACATGCGCACGATCGGAGGAGGACCAGCCCCTGCAGGAGGAGGAGCCGCTGCAGTTCCGCATTCCGCCGCTGGAGGCACTAAAGAGCTCCCATACTCTCTTAGACTGAGGATTTATTTACAGTCGTCCTCAAATGTATTCAGATCCTTCCATTAAAGAAAATGCAAAATTCACAATAGTCACTCAAATAACTAGAAACTGAAAAAAAGTAATTAAAAAAAATACTAAATGATAATTTAGTGAAATAAGACATTGCTTTTGAATTGGGGTTGAAAAGAATAATTAAGGTGCAGAAGTCTGATTGAGAGTTACAGAAAACACTTGATTGCAGTGATTGGCTCAAAGGGTTGTTCAACAAAATATTACTTAACTGGTCCCATCATGCAATGTCATGATTTTCATTACATTTTTTATTTATTATTACTTTTGTCAATTTCAACTTTTTTCAGTGACAGCTGTTTTTTCCCTTCATTAATGGCAGGGTATGAACACATTTGAGGACGACTGTATGTAGAATGAGGATTTAGTGCTTCCTGTGGAACCTCGCTTGGTGGTAGATTTCATGAAGGAACCTTTAATGACTCAATTTAGACAAGAAAATTCTAATTAATTTTTCAAATCCATTTTAATTTTATAAGATAGTCTTAGTGTAATTGTATACATTACAATGTTTCAACATGTATATTGTAGAGTTTAAGACAATGTGTAAAATAGACAGTGAGTTTGTTGATTTCATGATAAAGGAATAACTTTGTTGGCAGTATTGTTTTGCTTTATTTTAGTCTGATATAAAAAAATAAAAATTTAAACTCAGCATTAACCTCTTAAGACCCAAGCTCTTGTTTGATATGCATTTTTTTAAAATTTCTCTTCACTATTTGATCAAATAAAAAAGAAAAAAGAATACAAAAATATATTTATAAAATATATTACAAATATTTTAAAAGAATAATATATAGAATAAATAACAATAAAATTATAACAATAATAAAAATAGATTAAAAAAAAAATCTACTGTGGTAATATTACCCAAATGTGATGTCCAGTCATTTGAACCCCAGGTCTTAAGAGGTTAGTGGAATCTATTTATATTCTGTCAGGGTCTGTTGTTGCTACTGTGACTGTCTTTTTAAAACACACCACAAGTCATTATTTGAAATTTATCACAGGTCAGGATCATTTTTGAATTAATGAAACAAATAAAGAGGAATTATATTTACAGTAAATTAATTTACAATGAATCATGAAGCTCCTTTGAATAATATTGAAGATATGAATGCAAGTTTTAGAGATTAGTTTTATGTATTTGATTGGGAAATTTGGATCTTGTTTGACTTTCTGTCAACAGATTTGTTCGTAAATGATTTTAAGGTCTCCCTGAGCTAAAATGTGATCACGATATCCATTTTTATTTAGGAACATTTACATTATTGGCTTAATAAAATAGATATTAATGATAAAGAGTTCAAAATGGAACTCCAAACCACACAGAATGGTTCTGTGGTTCTCTGGGGGAAAATTCTGGAGCAGGATGGCACTCCTTCTCATACTTCAATCTCAACGTCAAAGTTCCTGAAAGCAAAGAAGGCCAAGGTGCCACAGAACTGGCCAACCCAGTCACCAGACATGAACATTATGTCTGGGGTAAAATGAAGGAGGAAGTTTGGAAGGTGAAACTGAAGAATCTTGATGAACTCTGGGAGTCCTGCAAGACTGCTTTCTTTGCCATTCCAGATAACTTTATCAATAATTGATTTGAGTCATTGCCAAACTGAATAGATGCAGTCCTCCAGTCATAGATGATATACATTTATTTTTATTTTTTTTACAATGCACCATGACTTAATGTTCTGATGTTATTGTAGCATGTTTCATAATAAAGTATATGAATAGTTTCTACATTGATTTTGTATGTGACAATACTTTTGTCCAAGCAAAACCTGACCTTTCTGTCCTAATTAAATGATAAAACTCGATGACTGATTAAAAAAAAAAAAAAAAAAAAATTGGTGTATTCGGCATAATCTAGAAGGTTTTGCATTTCATATAAGCCATTTCTGATTCCAATAGATCAACTACAAGTGAAGTTATTATTTGTTGTTCTTACAATGTGGATAGGAGACAAAACTTTTGTCAGTGACTGTACTTTCCACTACTATATATATGTGTGTGGGATGTCAAAAAATAAGACAGGTTCAATCAGAAAGTCAATTTAAATTAGTGGCAGAGTTGTTCCTATGAATGTGTTAAAAACTAAACATATTGTTATCAATAATATACAGTAGCGCTTATGTTGTCTCAATTCTGGATGAATAAATCACCGACTATAACACTGGGGATTATCTAATGTTGAATTCCCAGAAACATAGAGCTAATTAGATTAGCTCAGAGTGCAAAACCATAAAAATGGATTTCATAAACACAGATTTACTAAAACAGAAAACAAACCTCTCATGAGTCAGTGAACGTCACAAGAATTGGCCATACAAGGTATTTTTTTTTAATTGTCTTTAAGAAATGGAAACTACAGTGCTGACAGTGACGTACAAAATATCCCCCGTGTAAAGATTAATAATTAGCTCACATAATTGTCACCTGGATGAACTTGTCTGAGGATCTGTGTTAGTCCTCTTATGACCCCCGCAGTCTGAAATGACTATGAGTCACTTGAGAGATAATGTGCAGTAAATGACTGTAGTGGCTAAAGGTCTCCAGCAACCACACCTATCAGGCTGAAAGTTGACAGACAAACAAGGATTTGTTTCTTCATAAAACAGCCATGGGTTTGTGTCACTTCTGTTGCACTGGATTCGGATATGAATGCCGTGTCAGGGCATTGTGGTATTTGACTGTGATATAAACTGACTGAATCATACAAAACAAGATGCAAAATGGGAGAAATCGTTAAAATACAGGATTAAATACAGGCCCAGGTATTGCCAGAAGAAAACAAGTATCTCCTGAGTTGTTGACACTGATGCAAGATTTGCAACCAAATATCAAATATGATGATGTTGTAGGTCCTGAAAGCATAATTTATAAATTAGCTTTCTTTAGTCAAATTTCGACCAGATTTATTGTTGCACCTCTCTTCTTACTCTTTTAAAGGGTCGAGATCTGTTTGAAATCAGCAGTTGACACTATCAGAATTCATCAACATTTGGTGGGTTGATGAATTCTGATAGTGTCAACTGCTGATCGTGTTACTGTCACCCTTCAAATCACACCCTCTTATGTTACGTTATTAAGAATAAGTAGTAGTTTCTGGGGGCTTTAAAGCGACTCTGAGTATTATTTTTTATTTCAACAGTGAACAAAATGACTATGTAAAGTGTAAAAAAAAGGTCACTTATACTGACAAAATCACAGAAAAGTCTCATTCTGGTCAGCAGTTCCCCCTTAGCTCTACAACATGCTTGTGTTCTTCACCTTGTATGGTTGTTGACCTGCAACTTTAATTCTTAGGCTCCTCCCACTGCCGTCAGTGCACTCCAGGAACTAATTAGGGTCTGAGGACCTCTACTTGCAAAGCAAGCTTTTCTACAAATTTTGAGTCATTCCGGACAACTTTGAATCATTTTTGACAAATTATAAGTCACTTTGTGCTTTTTTTAAAAAAAAAAAAATCATTTTGGTCTATTTTTGAGTTATTCTATCCAAATTATAGTCCCTTCTGGATTAGTTTTTATTCATGCTGGACAGGTTTTGAATCATTTTGTGCTTTTTAAAAAAAAAACATTATTTTAAGTTGAATCATTCTCGAGAAATTTTAAGTAATTTTGTTCATTTTAAAATATGTTTTTGCCAACTTGCCCAAATTTTAATTCATTCTGGAAAAAGTTTCTGTTATTTGGGACAATTTATGTGTATATTTTGACAGGTATCAAATCATTTTTGAACATTTTAAGACATTTTGACCCTTGTCTTGTTTTGTACATACTTTGAACAACTTTTGACTTTGTTTCGAGTCAAAAAATACAGAACTGAAAATGGCTCCAACTCAAGCATGCAGACTTTTATGTGGTATAATGTT